CCCTCTTTTTGTTTATTTTTACTACAATTTTCTGGCCACCGCTTAGGGACGCCATATTGTAAACCTGAGTCATACTGGGTGTATTCACACTTTTGCAAATAAACATGACAGCTTTGCATAACTTGAAAACAAAGTCGCTCTTCATAAGGAAGGCATCAACTACATGCCCAGTCTATTTATACCCACTACATGCCCACTCTATTTATGACTAATGTTGACAGGAGGTTTTTTTTACCTCCAAGTTGAATTTCAGTTTTTTAAAATTATGATAAATGTGGAAATAATATTATACCTTCAGATATAACATTATATCTGGGGCCACGGTGGCTCGTGTGGTAAGACTCTGGGCTTGCTCACCGCTGAGGCCGGCAGCTTGGCGGCTCGATTCCCATGAGCGAATAAAGCACGAAGGGACAAGAAAGGAGTCTCCCCCGAATGCCTACCAGCATTCAAGCGTCCCATGGGTAAAGATAACACCACCCATAAAAATTCCTTTCACAGAGGTAGCCAGCCACCTTGGTGATCCCTGGCTAACACGTGCCATATGCACGTTTACATCACAGATATAAGACATATATTCAGTGTGCTGTCTTATCCTAGAAGCATGACTTAAAAGATTTCATTGATATTTAACATCAACATTTAATTAGCTATAAAGCCAATTCTTACTTTTGTTTTTCTTTTCTCTTCATTCACTTATAAGCAAGCTGCTTATTAATTTTCCGAATGTTACTTCCTTTCTTCGTACCATAATATATGATTGTTCATGGGAGAAAATAAAAACATACTAATTACCAGAACATATTGAACTTACTTGCCTTTCTCATATGTAGGAACATTCCCTTTAAGAAGTTGACTGAGTTGGAAACCATTCAAATGCAACAACCGTAGCTGTTCTCTAGCTGTCTTCCACTCTATCACAGGGGACAGAAGCTTCCCAACGTTGTTTCTTGAAATCGGCAAGCCAAGTCCTAATGCTAAGGTGACAGCCAAATCAGTCTGTTGGATAAGTTCTGGATACTTTGGGGGACCTAAAGAGAGGAAGAAAATATTGATTAAAGCTTATCTATTCCTCATTCCCCAAAATATAATTTCTTGACCAGAAGAAATGCTGTCCCATAAGTATTTTTCTCCTGTCCGTATTACATTCAAAATAACAGCTGTTTTTCCTCATTATTTTTTTCACAGGAAGATTCAGCAAGCATTTGCAGGACCTCAAGTACTGTAAAATTCAAACTCTCCCTTGCCACCGTCACGTAAATTTCAAAAGTTAGTACTGTTTCTAGGTAATTGAATTGATGACATAAGCAGGGAGCTATTGGGAACCCAGAAGGTATCCAGAATGTGTATTTCTTTTAAAACATTTGAATATGTGTGTGTGTGTGTGTGTGTGTGTGTGTGTGCGTGTGTGTGTGTGTGTGTGTTTCAATTCTTTTGAGAAAGAACGGATTCACTTAGCTTTAATAATGTCACTGAATGGTGTGCTATTCTTTTGATACCACTTTAGCCATAAAAACTTTTATGGCCTTTAGCCATAAAAACTTTGCATTAAAATATTAATATACTGATTGCTTCTGGAGTTATTAATAGCCCATTTAGCAGATACATTAAAACACTTAAAATTTTCTCCAGATAAAAATACCTCAGGCCAAATTTTCACCACACAACTTGTTTCTGGAACATAGTACTTCTGATTATTTGGGACTACACAGAAGATTGAATTTTTTAAAAAATTCCGCTACAGAAAAGGGATAAGGCTTTTGAGATAAATGTCTTTCCAACATTTAGGAGAATGAGACAATGGATTTTCATGGAGTTATGGAAGATTCTACCATTTAAACCATCACCACCCTTACAATCTGAAATGGTATAGCCAGATACTTCTTTATTGAACCTATCATATTATTAAGAGAGAAAGCCAGTTCTTACCACCTGTTCTTTGAAAAGCAGAGCTGACAAAAAGCAAGGGGGTGCGAATTTCACTTTCTGAGGAACCCCCATGGTTTCCTGTTTCAGACATGCCATGGTCACCACATACAACAAGTAAATTGGGCAAAGTTCCTTTTTCCAGTTCCTGAATCGGAAGAAATTTTCAAAGTTTTAATGGAATAGTTTAACATTTCATTATCAAATCTGTTCCTTGCCTCGCAGATTTGAGCCAAAAAATTAGGATTCTCAAGAACGATTGCCACACACCCAAGTAAACTGATCAAAGATACCGCAGCAACAACCTCCCTCAATTCTTGTTAGGAGTATATTATTAGGATTTCACACAGCACCATTTATTTAAATAAGAAATGAGATCCCACCTGGCTAGTACTTTCACAATCTTTAAGCTAGCTAAGCGGAATGCATCTCAAATATATCAAGTCCCTACATTCAAAAATATGCTTATGTAGCATTACATGCATTAATATTATATCAATACAAAACTTAAGAGCCTATCAGGTCCCCAAAGTTTCCTACATTTCAACTTTTTTCCAAGTTAAAAATGAAGCATTCAAGTCATTACTAATTTTGTTCTGCTGAAATAAAGCCAAACCAAAATGATGCAACAGAACATTTCGGAGCTTGAAATAAAATTTTGTTTCCATCTCCTGCACATCTTACAACCAATGTATTCAAAAAAACAATATCAACACATTTCACTTTGTTGACAATTCCAAGTGCCTGGGACTAAGAACTAGAAATGTACCCCAATGAGCACAATGAGACGTGGTCTCAATTGATCATTTACTTGGTCAGGGTGTAAGATAAAATGCATCTATAGGAAACTTCAAATCTTCTTCCTGTTTTCATGATCAAATGCATCTTCAAAACTTAAACATCTCACCTTGGAGAGCAGAGACTTATGAATCTTCGAGATAATGTTATCCATTTCAGAAAGCTTTGGTCCTATCAAAGGACTGTTTGGTCCACTCAGATGACCAATATGATCCAATCCCAAATAGTGAAGAATGAGTATGTCCCAGTCTTCTCTTTTCAATACATTATTCAAATGTCTAGTAACATTGTTGTCAACCTTAGTGAGAAAGAAAAGCAGCGATATATTAAGTCATCACCTATTTTACTCATATGGTATGCAGAATTAATTAACAGGTCTTCTAAATATAAATGTTCTGATGGAAAGGGGTGCGTACAATGTAATGATCTCCTGTTTAGCTCAAAGCTAAAAGCCAACTGAAGTCAAGGACCAGTGATACATAATCTCCTTCTGCAGCTCTTATTGTCAAGGCTCTCGCTAAGGAACCCAAGCAAATCGGGACTCCAAGGCTAGGGTCTTTCTCAAATAATTTCTTTATTGGGTATATTATATCAGCACGCTTAAATGTACCCAATAAAGAAGTTATTTAAGGAAGATCCTAGCCTCGGAGTCCTCAATTACTTGGGTTTGTTAGTCAGTTCATTAGTCACACTTACATTGAGGCTGAGGTGAATCTACTCACTTTGAACAATTTCTACCAAAGTATCCTCTGTATAGGGGGGAGAACATACCAAGAACAGGTTCATAAGCTTCCTTTAAAGCAGGGGTGTCAAACTCGATTTCACTGAGGGCCACATCAGGGTTGTCTTTGACCTCAGGGGGGAGGGGATATGGTCAAGGGGTCTGGCCAGCTCAACATCACTTATCAAGGCTCCATTTTCGTCTGTGAATGCCTTCTGAAGTCCTCTGCCAGTGAAAACAGAGGCTGTACGTGGCCCATCTGGGCTCCCTGGCAGAGGCACCACAGGCTGGTCCTTCACTGTTTCTATGGTGGGCCTGCAGGCCAGATTTAAACACCCAACAGGCCAGATCCGGCCCATGGGCCTTGAGTTTGACACCCCTGCTTTAAAGCATTGGGTGAATATCCTATTTCCATCTGCAATAATATCCTATACATTTTTTCTCTTTGGTTTGTTCTAAGTAGTTAAGTATTACATTCTCAAAAATGGTAAGATACATAGCTACAACATTCTAGGTCTATTAACCATGCTGTTTGGCACTCTATTGCTAATCTCTCATTGAGAGTTTATGACGGTGGGGACAATTTTAAAAACCTGAGCCATGAAAAAGATTTTTAAAAAGACATATATTTTATGTGATCTGTATAATTTAGGTAACTAGGCGAGATGAACATTGTGTAAAATAAAGAAAATAAAGAAGAAAATAAAGAAAAAAGTAGTGGTTCTAGTAGATGCCTACCAGACATCTGGAAACTAGCCCTCACCAACAAACGAGTCCCAGCCACGAAAACCAACACCAGACCCAAAACAACACGGGACACCACTGCCAATCCCCCTCATCAGACCCAGGCCAAAACCCATCCTATAAACGAAGGACAACCACCTTCCAGAAACCAGACCACAGCTGCTTCGCCAGCTGTCGCTCCCCCCGACCCCAAAATCAAACAAGCTGACATACGCCAAGAACACAGACCCAGACCCCAAACTCAAAGACAGACCAAAACCCAGAATGCCACATCACAGCCACCCGCTCAGGATATCACATCAGAAAACTCAGGAAATTACATCACAAGAACTCAAGAAGTTGCAACACAGCAAACGACCCAGGAAATCACAGCACAAGACCAAGGATACCACAGCAATAAAACCTACAAGGTCACCACACAAGCCATTACCCAAGCCGTTACAACACAGGAGGCTAATGGAAAAGAGATCAAAACACAAATGACCCAGGAAATTAAAGCACAAGATCCAGGATATCTCCACAACAAAACTCACAAGGCCATCACACAGCCCATTATGCCAACATCAACTCCATCAACCAATCAAGAGGCAGCAGCACAGCCAACCAGCCCAGCACACCACCACCACCACCCCTCAGTATTTATAGAGAGACGGCAGCTCCGATCACACACTGCTTGCACTGGCACGAAGCTGAAAGCACCAGCCTGAGGATGGCGAGTGGGATCTCGCCGAAACATCACCAAGATACTCTTAATCTTACACGGGAAAAGACCTGAACACACCTAGACCTACAAATCTGTACCTGTGAAAATCTACGAAAATATATATGTGTGTGTGTGTGTGTGTGTTTTCTTAAGTTTTCACAGGTATTTATATGTATGGATTTCAGCTTTGTTTGGGTATTTTCCCATGTCATTACAGTTGTGCTTTTAAAATATATATACATACATACATACATACATACATACATACATACATACATACATACATACATATATATATATATATATATATACACAATCTGACCAGCATATAATATATGCAATAAAACATTTGCATCAATGGTTATATGCATAGAAGCAAACATACTGTATATATTCTTACAGCCACTCCCAGACGGTGACTTACCTCTGTGTAGTCTGAGACAAAAAAAAGATGTTGTCCCATCATATTCAACAAAATGCTTTGGAAACAGCTTAATCCAGGTATCATCACCATAGAAAATCATTCTTTTCCCAGCAGTTTTGGCCTGCCATATTAAGTTGTCTTCCTTCAAAGCTGGAGAGTTAAGGTTCATGATTACATCAATGAAACCTGGGATTCTACCAGTCATCAGTGCCTGTGAAGGGATCCACCAAAAGGAAAGGAGAGAAGGATCAAGCATTAGGTGAAGTTTCAATAGAACCTAAAATCTGACACTGGATAAGGACTCACTTCTGTATGTGTATGCATATATACTGTAGACAGTCAATGCCTTTAAGCAAATGGCTACCCTTAGTTCAGTACAGGTAGTCCTCGACTTACAACAGTTCATTCAGTGACCATTCAAAGTCATGTGGTCACTTTTTGCAACCTTCTGGCAAGCAAAGTCAATGGGGAAACCAGATTCACTTGACAACCAGGTTACTAACTTATTAACTGCAGTGATTTTCTTAACAACTGTGGCAAGCAAGGTTGTAAAATGGGGCAAAACTCACTTAACAAATTCCCACCTAACAACAAAAATGATGGGCTCAATTGTGGTCATAAGTCAAGCACTACCTGTACAGGTGGCAGGACTGAAAGTACTGAATTCAATACTATGGTACCTTAATTTTTTTTTCCCCACTGTTTCACTCACCTCAAACATCGTAGCAGAATGTATCATCACATTTTGAGAGAAAAAAAACTCCTGTTGTCAAAAAGAACATATTTCGGCAGTAAGCATTATTAAGCATACTGCTTTATGAAATGTACAACGTATAGATTTAACAGAAGACAACTATCACTTGTCAAGAAACATTTCCAAGATACCAGAACTTACTTTAATTCGAGGCATAGTGACAGTAGGTGCCTTGGCTTCTGCTATAAAAGCATGTGTTGTTCCTTTTTCCACCAGGTCTGTTGTATACGGCATGAACTTTAGACCTTTTGAACCAAAAACGAAGTCATCTCTCAAGGCATCAATTAACACTATAACTACTTTGTTAAAAATTGGCGGGATCGTCATGGTCCATTCTGATTTGTCTTCTAAAAAAAAGAAAAGCGGGGGGAAAATCACATGAGATACTAATCCAAACTAGGACTTAGTCTTCATGCGTACTGACCTCAATGTCCAACATTTTCTACAAATATCTTTAGGGGCAGGAATCAACAAGCCATAACTGATGGTCACAATTTTAATTCTGACAGCTGTAATTTGTCTCATTTCCAACAACAAAAAATTATTCCTGCTTATGTCAGTATTAGTTTCTGAATAACTTAAATCACGAGAAAAACAACAGAGAAGAATATGGCAAGCGGGGAAAAAACTATAAGAAAGGTAGTGAACTGTGAACAAGATATTGTAGAAACTCAGTATGCGATCCATAAATAACACCTGTAGTTTTCTTCCTTATTTGTTGGCAGAGAGTTGCTGTTTCAACCTCTCTGGGCTTTCTAGAAGTTGCATGAAAGGACTCTGCTCTCGTGGGACCTCTGGAACTTCAGAAAATTGTTCAAAAATGCTGATCTGATTTTCTCAGAGGTTAAGAGAGAGACACAAAAGCCAGATCTTCTTCTAACTTCCAGACGGTTCAGACACATGGCATGCAACCAAAAATGTTAGGTTGCATCACCAGTGACACATATCATAGGTTTGCACCATCAGTGCATTAGATACATGATCAGATAAACATCTAGCATCTTCTTCCTGAGGCTACTAGGAACTAATATATTTGACAACAATTTAAAGAGCCTACGAAAAGAAAAATGAGTTTTGTAGGTTGCAAGAATGTACAAATCAACACAATGAAACATTTTTTAAACAACCCTTAGAATTAGGAGCCACATGGAAAGGATGAATACAGCACCATTAAGAGCCAAAGCACTGTAGAACAACAGACCTATGAACACCACCCATGGCTGTCTGCAAGTAAACTCCCATTTAGTTGCAGAATTTCTACACATACATTCCAGCTAGTGAAAGGGCACTGTTTTGTTTTTTTTAATTTATGCATTTGGGTAACAAAGGTGATAGAAAGGGAAGAATAAAAAATGCCAAATTAATCTAAACCCACCTGACCAATGTCCCAACTAACCAAAATAATTGTCCACAATAAATATCAGAAATTTTACTATTTATTGTTGCTGAACCAATAATTTTTCCAAATTATTGTTTTCAGCATTTAAATTCATTTGGAACATTTCGTTGATTTGCAATAATCTCTTGCCAACTTTGTTCTACCTGCACTGCCAGTAGACATGATTGTAAACAAATACATTTCAACAAAGATGGTAAGCATTGCAGAATTCATGCAGAATTGTTACTATCCCAGAAAAGCATAAAGTCAATTTTCAGGAAGCCTCAATGATGCCTATACCTGGGAGAAAGTATACAAAATTAGAACTGTACAGTAAGGAAAATATCCATAGTGTTTCTTAAAATCTGTTCTCTGAACAAGTCCTAAAACTAGATTAAAAATATTTGATTAAACAAATGACAAAAAGGCAATATAACTTGCTCATTTATTTGTGAAAAATAATCCAAAGTTGCATATCTGTGTATGGCAAAAGTATGTCAACCTCTAGGATTATCAGTTTATTTGAAAGAGAAATTAGAGTCAAGTTTGTAAGTTTGTAATGGAGATCCTGCATTATTTACAAAACATAATTTTGGTTTTTTACTATCAAAGTCTGGTCTTTACAACTCAGGTATGTGGAAATGTGTTATGGCTCAAACAAGGAGATATTTGAGGACCTCCAAAAAAACAGATACTGATGTTCTGGAAAAGGCTACAAAACTATTTCCAAAGAGGTTAAACACTACCAAACTCCGCTGCCGGGCAGATTGTATACAAAAGGAGGCAATTCAACACTATTGTTACTCTATCCTGGAGTGGTTGAGCAACCAAGATCACACCAAAAGCAAGGGGTGATACTCCGGAAATCTTAAAGAATTCTGGGATCATATCTAAGGCTAAAAACCTCTCTTGCGTTGGTGAATGCCAGTGTTCATAACCTCACCATGAAAAACATTGAACAACATAGTGTGCATGGCAGGGTTGCAAGGAGAAAGACATTGCTCTCCTAAAAGGACATTGCTGCCTATTTACAGTTTGTGAAAGACCACATAGATAAACTGGAATTTTATTGGAAAAATGTTTTGCAGAGGGATGAGATCATAATAGAATTTTTCAGCTTGAATGAAAAGTGTTCACAAAAGGCAAAACATTACATTCCAGCATAAGAACTTTATTCTCTCAGCAAAAAGTGACAGTGGCAATATCATGGTTTCGGTTTGCTTTGTCCTTCCAGACAAAAATAGTGTACCACCATTGATGAAAACTATGAATTCTGAATTGTACCATGAAATTCCACAAGAAAATGTCAGGGTATTTATTCCTGAACTAATGCTTAAGAGAAAATGGGTCATGCAGCAAGATAGTAAGCCAAAATTGCATAACCACATGATTAAATTAGAAGTTAACATTTTGGATTGGCAAGTCAAAGTCCTGACCTGAATCCTATATGTTAGGAATGATAGTCACCTAACAGTTGGGTTGGCAATATATAAACCAGGATAGTCATTTAATACTGTTGTATCTTTAAGAGAATGCTATAATTGTGATTGGCTGAGGTTCCTCCAATGGCCATAAGATGGAGCCAGAAACCTGGTTTGTTTGGGTTTTTTGCATTTCCTTTGCTTCCTTTTTGCCTTTTGCCTGATCATCATTCTGCTTGAATTGCTGTGAGTCTTGCAACTGTTTGCAAACTCCGTTTACTGAACTTTGTTTAAGATACTGGTAAAGAAAAGGACTTTGTTTTTGGATTATCCCTGGACTGATTGTTTTGAATACTAATTGCTTTAATCGTGTATGATTTGGACTGTTTGTTGGACTTTGTTTACCCATTTACTATTCAGTGTATCTGTGTGCTGGTTGTGTGTTATTCATCACCACTCTCACTATATTTCCCTGAGTGCACTCGTTCTCCTAACGGGGAATACCTCAACACTATAGGAATTTTGTGAAAAGACCTAAAGCGAGCAATTTATGCAAGGAAGCCCACCAACATCCCTCCATTGAATAGCAAGTTTTAGGACTTGAACAAGTCATATTTTAGGTCATATACTGTATATACAGAAATATTGAAAATTCAAAAGAGTTCACAAACTTTTAAGCACCTTGCTGTATAAGAACTTTGTCACTTAGTAGTAAAGACTCTTAAAATTTACCTTTTAATGGAAAGAAAAACATTATTTAGAACAATCCAAAGGATTTTTTCCCTAAACAGTTAATAAGCAGTTTTGAGTAAAAAGGAACATAGGCCAGAATTAAATCATCAGTCCAAGATTCTGCTGTTATTTAATGATGTGAGAAATTAAAATGTAGCCAATTCAGCAATTAAGTGAAGGCTAAACACTTCAAGTAATTGTTTTCTTACTTATTTTACTCTGAATTCCAAAGTCTCTTGAGGGAGAACTAGTATACCTTTGGCTGTAGCACTAGGAATATGCTAAAACAGTATTATTAGTGGTTTATTCTCAGAGGTATTTCAAGCATTTGCATTCTTCAACAGCTGCTGAAGCTCCATCATCTTCATGGCATTGTTGTTGATATGCAATAGCCCTTGAAAAGTGTGAGGTCCCACCTGACCCAATCCCAGAGGACACACACAGCATGCCTTTTACTCAGCTTAAAAGCAAGCAAAATGTGATTATCAGAAACAGCCAATGCTTCCAACTGCTTATCTCCTCTGCCTCTTGTAAGATATAGTAATAAGGAGCAGGTCCGTCTATCTAAAAGATGACAGGTGAGTGAGTAAATGCTACCACCTCACTTTTGTTCTTGCCTTTGCCCGCTTAATCTCAGAGGCATGCAAGACTAGGGAATACATACAAGAGATAGCTATTGCCTTGTAAAAGATGCATTCTGGGTAGCATAGTGATCCAAGATTCCAGAGGAGGGCTGTCAAACTCCCGGCTGGTGGGCCAGATGCGTCACACACTGGCCACATCCATACCCGATTTAGTGAAGGGAGGGAAAGTCACGATATGTCACATGATGACACCCTGATGACGCAAGTTTGACACCCCTATTCTAGAGAGAATACAATGGAAGAGATAGGAAATAGAAGAGCTGGCATTAGTGAGACAGTAGAAATTACACAGGAAAGTTAAGAGCTATTACTTCCATCAGAACATGTCAAATTTTGGGGAACAGTTCTAGCTGCCATTATAGCTGTCTTTAAATCTGAAGAGAAATCACAATGTAGAGATCCAGACTTATTACTATTTCCTACAGTGGGTAAATCTAGAACTAAAGAAAGGAAACTTCATGGATGTAGATACAGATTAGACATTAGAAGACGTTTTTATATGTAAGAGCTGTCAATCAATGAAATTGGTTAGTGCAGAGTGATTTCTTCTCCTTCCCTGGAGGTTTTCAAAGATAGACTGGATAAGTTTCTAGTAGGGATGGTGTAGTGAACTGTGCAATAAAGAGTTGGACTTGATGACTTCATAGGATCCTTCCAACTCTGTAATTCTACTATATGCTGCCAACATGGAAAGTTATTTTCTACAAAATCAATTTATTTTAGGACCAAGTGGTTTATAATTTGGCACCTATTACCCATTTTCTGAATTGTTTAAGACTTGATTCTTGAACCATTAGCAATTTTTGTTGGGAAATATTGAGATATCAATTTTGTATTGGGTAATTTTTATATTTTTGTAGATAAAGAAGTTTTTCTATATTATGAATCCTGCTCAATTCTTTGAATGTGTGCTGAATGAATCAACAATTACTAACAAAAATGAATAAATGAATAAAGAATTTGTGGTGATCCAGGATAATTTAAAAAGTGGTATGGTTTTTCCTTGCATATATCAGGACAAAATATTTCAAACACCCACAACAATTAATGAAATTCCTAATGAATTCCCAATGATTTCCCTATAGGTATCTGTTTGGTCATTCCTTTTTGATGAAAATTAATCTGAATTAAAGTTGATAAAATTGCTTTCTGTGACAATAATCATATATATGTGACACTTTAGCGTACCTGGATGCTGCTATTATATTTTTTGCTTTGTAAATCACTTACAAAGATTGAACTGATTGGTGTTGCATAAAAGCATTGTGAATAAATATGCTTCTAAAACCAAGTCTTACTACAGGTATTGAAGAGCATATATTCAAACTATTTCAAACAAGACTGTGCTTTTATTAGAAACTATCATTATAGAAACTTCCAGGCTACTGAATACATTATGATCAAAATCTTTAAATTAAGCTTTTCTGATTAGCTACGTAAATTAAATACATCCTGCAGCAGATAACACTGACTAGTTTTAGCCTGGCTTCTGAGACCTACATGGCTGCAACTGCATTCACCAGTCTAACAAATAACTTTTGCTGGAAACCAAAAGAGGAAGTTTGAATTAGCAACACTTTATCTTTTTGCAGATTGTTTTTCAATAACTATACCGGTAGTCCTCGACTTACAACAGTTCATTTGGTGACCATTCAAAGTTACAATTGCACTGAAAAAAGTAACTTATGTCCATTTTTCAGACTTATGACCGTTGCAACATCCCCATGGTCACATTGGCAACTGACTCAAATTTATGATTGCTGCAGTGTCCCAGGGAAATATGATACCCTTTTGCGACAAGCAAAGTCAATAGGGAAGCCAGATTCACTTAACAATCATGCTACAAACTTAACTGCAGTGATTCACTTAATAACTGTGCCAAGAAAGGTCATAAAATGGGACCAATTATACATTTCCAGAGAGGTAATAGATCTCATTTTAAACTAGATCCTTCTTTCTCAAAAAGACAACGTATGTAGTTCAAAGTGACCTGAAACTAGACTTGGACCAGGTCCCCAGACAGAGGAAATGGCCCTCAGCCTTGTTCATCATCACTTTGAAGAGAGAGACCATTTTTCTTTTCCCCAAGGAAAGTAGCCATATATAGTGATAATATCAACATTTGAGTACAGTATTGTAAATGTTCCACAAAACTTCTTTTGGAATCTAGATCAGAAGTTTCCACTGGTACAGAACTCAACAGCTCAGCTAGTCTTAGAATTCAAAGAGATCACATTATACACATACTAAAAACATCATTTTGACTACCGGATACTTTGTAACTGAAATCAAAATGCTAATTATTAATGTTCAAGGTCTCTAGGAATTTTGTTCAGGTGACTTGCAAGGACCTCCATGAGCTTCATTTATATTTGTTACAGGCTCATCATGTGGTGATCCAGGTTCAAGCCATTGAGTTGAGTAGTGCACCAACCATTTTAAAACGGCCCTTCTACCACCCTTTCAAGCAAGACTTTCGCTGTTGATTTTTAGCATCACAGGCTTTTATTTCCATTTTATTGCTTTTATTTTAAAATATGCCACAATCTGAATAGTTGGCAGTACAGTAAGCTAACCAAATAGGCCTCTGCTCCCTTACCTCCTCTCTCCCTAGCCTGAATAACTTTTGGAATTATTCACTGGCATGGCACATAACATTATTCACTGGCATGGCACATATTATGATTATGATTCATCGCACAGTCAACCAGATGTTCAGACTGGGTTTGGCATTTTTGCCTACCTATCAAGTCGTTACCTAGGACCTGGGATAGGCAAATCTGGATGTTTGATGGTGTTACAGATATGGCCACAGGATGGAAGCTGTTCCAAGTAAAGCTGCCTTCTGCAATTGACTGATGGCAAATTTGTCAATGCCAATGGTGTTCAAGCAGTGGTCCAGTTGTTTGTATTATTATTATTATTATTATTATTATTATTATTATTATTATTATTA